TTAAATTCACTTTCCTCTACATCTACCGCTGTTGCATACTGCATAGCATATCCCATGTGGAAGATAAATATATTTATATCATTATATCTTTATTTTGAACATATTTTATTATTGATATTATATTTACAATGGTCAAGATTCTGCTCTCTTTATGCACACTGAGTATTTAATTATTCCTCACATAGTCTTAATAAGGTACTACTCCATTTATGTACCAGGAACAGAATCTGGCACTAAAGCTATGGATAGTGTAGGTGCCTGAGATTTGGGCTTTGCTGGTGGATAATCTTAAACACATTACTTGGTTTCTTGGTGCCTCAGTTTTACAATCTGTAAAATGGATGTAATGATCCCGATTTCATTTGTAAAGCACTTGGAGAGCTAGTGATGAGAAGCGCTATATAATACCATCATTATAACATAAGATCCAGGATTTATTTCATTCACATGTGTGAGAGTACGCCTTTGTGAAATGCTTTCTTTTACTGTTCTTAGAAGAATTGTTCTATGTTATTATTATTTGAAAAGGTTTGGATCTATAGGTGTAACAGTTTGTATATATTTCTTTATAAAAATAAAACGTTAAACATAAAAACAGTCTAGTTTTAATATAGCTAGACATTGGTAAACAGTCTATCTAGTAATAATTTACCCTGCTGCTTACTATCTTATGCTAAAAACCACATAGACTAGAATAAAGTATATTTATCTTAAAGAAATACATTTGAATACTGTTCTGAGTTTTAAGAGATTTTAATAAACTTTATTCTAATTAATTAAAGAAAAAGTCACATTTTAATATAATTCAGAAAGTGTTAACCAAACAACCTTAGGTTTGAAAGGTGCATAGTAGTTGAAAGGAGAACAGTGAATGATGTTTCTTTAGGTTGCCCCCTCTTCATCTGAACTAGTGTGGTGAATAATTAGTAATTAATAAATTAATACCTTACATGTACAACAGCGCCTATCCTCTCAAAGAATCCCAGAGCACCTTACAAACTTCACATACCCTTAAAGCAGTTAGGTTAGAATTTTATGCCTCCAAAAATCTGCCATGGGAGCTTTAATCACTACTGGTAGTCTAGGCCCTGTATTTACCTCTCATCTGGGGAAGATAGCACCTGTAACATAAGGCTGGAATGTGAGTTCAGTGCACGCTCCGTGGTAAGACTGCCAACTGCTGAATTGTCGATGCCACTTTCTTACAACCCTGAAGTATTTGGGGATGTTTCCCATTCAAATATTGATCAAACCCTACCCTGCTTTGCCTATATGAGGTCTCTGTGAAGCCACAGGATATACAGACTCTAGACTAGTTCATTATTCTTTAGATGTTTTGATCTCTATGTTGTATAGCAGTGAAGTATTCCAAGACACCAGAGTTTAACAATTATGTCATTTGATTATGGCCAGAAATGCAGCATCCTACAGTGAACCCTCGTTTATCGCGGTAGATAGGTTCCAAACCCTACCGCGATAGATGAAAATCCGCGAAGTAGAAGTAGGATCCTCAAAGCCTCGGGGGAAGCCGGCGGGGGGGGCATCCCAGGCGCGCCTGGGCTGCTCCCCCGCCGGAGCCCCTCCGCGGCTTTCAAAGCCTCGGGGGAAGCCGGCGGGGGGGGCATCCCAGGCGCGCCTGGGCTGCTCCCCGCCGGAGCCCCTCCGTGGCTTTCAAAGCCTACTTCGCGGATTTTCACCTATCGCGGTAGGGTTTGGAACCTATCTACCGCGATAAACGAGGGTTCACTGTATATGTACAGTATGATGGGGGCTAATTTGGCTATGACAAATCAGGAAAGAGATCTTGGAGTTATAGTGGATAGTTCTCTGAAAACTTCCACACAGTGTGCAGCGGTGATCAAAAAGGCAATTAGGATGCTAGGAATTATTAAGAAAGGGATAGAAAATAAGACACAGAATATCCTATTGCCCCTGTATAAAACTATGGTACGCCCACATCTTGAATACTGTGTACAGATGTGGTCTCCTCACCTCAGAAAAGATATTTTGGCCTTGGAAAGGGTTCAGAAAAGGGCAACTAAAATGATTAGGGGTTTGGAACGGGTCCCATATGA